ACTTCATGGTATCTCTGTCAGATGGTGCAGGGCCCGGGCCAGCTCCCATCGTAGCGAGGGAGGGTTTTTCCACTGACTTTAAGAGGAGCTGGAGCCGAGCCATCCTCTGTGTAATGCGGATCCGGGAGTGTGCGTGATGCACTGCATGATGACAGAATTTCTGGGAGATTGGCCTAAACCAAAAACCTTGGACTGCTGCTCCCTGGGACCGCTCTATCCGAGGAGTGGGGAGGCTGGAGACACCAAACATGGGCCTGGAGACACCAAATCTGTGTTTAGAGACATCAAACCTGTGTTTAGAGACACTAAACCTGGGTCTGGAGACACCAAATCTGTGTTTAGAGACACCAAACCTGGGTCTGGAGACACCAAACCTGGGCCTGAAGTGGGGTTTAGCAGCTGTGAAAGCATCCCTGGAAAGGCAGAGGGGGTCTGGCTGTGCCACATCTGCCCTGCCCCACGCCAGACTTTGGTCACTCGGGTTGAGTCCATGTCCCTCTGTGGTGCTGCTGGGTGGAGAGGACACCTGGGAGGGTGTGAGGGGCTCCTTGCAGGACCCCAGACTGGCTGAAGTGCTGCAGTTGAGCTCCTCTGTGCCCCAAAATAGCCTGGAGCCAAGTGGCTCAGTCTGCAGTGTCCCAAAAATACCCCAGTGCTGCCAGTGGCACTGGGATGGGGCTGCCCTGCCTGCACCAACTGGGCTGGGAAGTTTAGTTGGGAATCTTGCTGAGAGGAAAGAGGAGGGAAGAGAAATGTGCTGGAGCATTGTGTGGCATTTTAAGCAGAATCCTGATGCATTAATGTGTTTTTCTCCCATAAATGCTGGGTTAGGCAGATTGGCAGGCTCGCAGGAGGTACCACTTTACTGATTCCTGTGGATGCTTCTGCCCTAACTCCATCCTGCTGTTCCTTTGTGCCTTCTGACTGCTCAGAAGAGCAGGAGACCTTCTTTTTACACCCAAAAGGATGTTCATTGAGGATGGGAAGGCTGGAGCAAAGCTTAGAGATAACAAGTGGTCCCAAATAGGTGCTTCAGTTACTCCATCTCTCTTTTTTCCCAGGCTGATGGACAAGGCTGGGTTCTCACAGTGCATTTGCACCATGTGCTGGGGTTATGGAGCCCCAAAGCTATGCAGGACATGGCTGGTGTCTTCCTTTTGCCCCTGCAGACCTGATTTATCCCTCTCACAGGGCACTGGCAAAGCTGGAGGGTGATGGAGGACCCCAGGGCAGGAGTTCTCCCTTGGAGTCCCCACAGAGCTCCTGCCCCTACCACCACTCTTGAAATTCCAGAAGAATCTTTGGTTGCTGTGGCGACTCCAGGGAGGAGGCTGCTCCCAATGAACTGCTGGTGCCTCAGGATGGAGCAACACCACTCACAGGGTCATTGTGGCCTGATGGCTTCTAAGTGGGCACAAGGAAAACCTTGGCCCCACCATCTGCATTAACCTGGCTGGTTTCAACACTTGAACATGCATGGAAGAATGACAATGGGAGGGTGAGGAGGGAAGAGCAGCGTGTGGAAAAAAAAAAACTGAAGCTGTCTCTCAAAATCACATGGTGATAAGGCCTTTTCTGGAGTGCCCCATGCAGCTGGCAGCAGAAACCAGGCTTTTATGTTTGGGTCTGGCTGGTTTTTCACTTTCTGCAGCCAAAAGGATCTGGATAAAGTTTGCCTGGAGGATTAGCTGGCACTGAGCCTGACTAGACATCTCTGGAAGCCTTCCCTCCAGCAGGAGTAGGTCCTGATTCCCTTCTCCACCAGCCCTGCCACAGGCAAGCGTGGGGGAATGTCCCCCTGGAGGGGACAGTGCCACCAGCCCTGTCCCCTCTGGCACAGCAGATCCCTGCTCCCGCTGCAGTGGGGAGCTGGGGAGTGTGCAGATGAGATCCCAAGGGGTTTTTGTCAGCAGGGAGGACAGGGAGGAGATGCTCCACAGCCACAGGGATGGCATTGGGAACACGGAGCCTTGGCACCCATGACCCTTCCCTAGGGACACATCCTTCACGTGTCTGTCCTGATAGCAGAACTGGGCTGGGAAATGGAGTGCCTGGGAGCCCCCCAAGCAGGGCTGGCCTCCCCCAGTGCCAGCTCTGGGGCAGATGTGGTTTGGCACCAGGTTTGGCACCAGTTGTGCTGTCCGGCCACATCAGAGCTGCCAGCTCTGGGGCACAGCTGGCAGGGGATGGAGGCAAGGGAAGAGATGCCATTCCCACAGGGTCCGTGGGCGCCCCATGCTGACCCAGACACAAAGCAGATTTTGGGTTTTGTGCCCGGGGAGGCCTGGCAGAGGAAGGGGAGACTGCACTGGTAGCAGATGCCGATGCCTCCGGAGCGGAAAGCCCAGTCCCTCCCCTCTCATTCCTTTTTTTCCTTTTTTCTGTCTTTTTTTTTCTTCCCCCCCCTCTGGCTGATGTTAAAAAAGCCCAGGCGGTTTGGGCTTCGTGAAACCCAAATGCCTTTTGCAGCATCAAGCCCGCATCCCATAAGTAATATCCCAGCATTGCAGAGTAAGACAGTATATGAAGTAGACGGGGAGCTATAAAGACACTTTAAAAGGGGCAATAAAAGTTTTGGGTTTCATATCGTCTTACCAAAGAAGAGAATAACAGAGAAGCAGGAAATTTCAGTAGCAGACATGACAAAGGTCACAGCACTCAGACTGCACCTTAGACGAAAACACCTACTCTTATGAAAACAGCCAGAATTTTTGGCAGGGGCTCAAGAGCTCTTACAGGCAAAGCTCTCGGCAGCGCTAAAAGGTTACAAGAGACTGTTTTGTCTACGTTGCTGTAGATGTTTATAATATTTCCCTGCATTGGTGTTGCAGGGGATATCCTGCCTGGGGTAGTGGATCCAGCCCTGCACCTTCCTCCGTGTTGGGGTGCCAGGTGCTGCCATCAGCTCGGGGCTGATGCCAGGGCAGGGACCCTGTGGGTGTGCCCAGGTGTGTGCCAGTCACAAGGCTGGGTGCTGGCCCTGCACTGGGGTGCAAAGGGATGGATTGGCAGAGCTGGAGCATCACCCTGGGGCATCAGCAAGGAGAGGAGTGGATAAAGCAAACCTTGCTCCAGATTTTGTTGTGTGCAAGACAATTTTGGTTTTTGTTTTTTTTTTGGTTTTTTTTGTTTTTTTTGTTTTTTGTTTTTTGTTTTTTGGTTTTTGGTTTTTTGTTTTCCAGCTGAATACCTGGCAGGTGGGAGCAGGAGGTTTTATCTACTCAGCTGCTCCTCAGGTGACGTGCCCTCCTTGTTTGTGTGGGGTTTACCAACCTTTGGTCCCTCATGCTCAGCCCCAGGTGGGTGTCGTGGTCACCCAGTGCCCTCCTCCCAGCACTGGAGCCTCTCAAGGCTCTCACCATGCCCACGGTGCCCGTGTCTCCAGGGCTTGCTGCAGCCCAGGAGGGACCAAACAGTCCCCAAATGAGCTGTTGGGGTCAAGGAGCCTCTGATCAGTGGCTGCAGCAAGTGGGGGAGGCTGCTGGCCCTACTGGTCAGGATCCTGGGGAGGGTCAGTGTCGAGTATTTGCATTTGGGGTGACAAACACCCAGGAAGAGCCAGCGTGGCCGTGGGATGCCCATGGGAGTGACCTCTCAGGAAGCTGCTGTGCACCCTCAGAGGCATCTCTTGCAGGCAGTGCTGAGCTACTCCTTTCACTCCAAATCAGAGCACTTGGGCCTGTTTTTTGGGGCCACTCTGAGCCGTCCTCACACGGCAAAGAGCTCCAGTAGCGTGCAAGCAACGAGGAAAACCTTGCATGCAAACCCTGAGAGCATCTTGTAAACATCCCAGGGGCTGGTGCAGGGAAGGAATGGAGCTGTGTTGGTTTAGGTGCTGGGGAACCCTTTGAAAGCTCTTTGCTAGCTCTGCCTCTGCGTGCAGCTGCATCAGCTGTGCCACCGCTTGCCAGTGACTCTTGGATGCTTGGGGGTTCATAATTCATTTATATTTTTTTTGGAAGCTCATTCAGTTTTGGTTGTTGCCCCGTCGCAGGAAGTTGCTCTGATGAATGACTGGGGTGGATTTCTCTTCCAGAGGAACCCAGGCTTAATGTGGGCTTTCTGTGGACATCTCTGTATATCAATACTGCTCTAATTGTCCATGACATATAGTCTTGGCCTTTTTCCCAGACAGTCTAAATAAATCATACACTTCTGCTATAGTAAATAGTCTGTTAGAGGAGATGTTATAGGCTTACAGCCCTCCCCCCTCCCTCCAGGAGCTTCTTTTCTCTGCCTCTCATTTTCCATGTACTTTCCATACCAATGAGGCACCTGCTGCCTGCGCCTGCAGGTCTGCAAGGACAAAGTGCCCAGTGTTGCAGGTCCCTCCAGGTTTGAGGGGCCGTGGTGGCTGTGCCCAGAGCTCTGCTTTGGAACTGGCATCTGCCCTCGACTGAGCTGAGTGAAGCTGGAAAGTTTCCCACCTTGCTGAAGAAATGCTGGCATTGCACACTAGCAAAGTCTTTGTTAGTATATATTATTTACATCAGGAGAATGCATAAATAAAATAGTTAATATCTCACAAAAAATACAGGTTCTGTTAACCGGGTGTTGCAAACGAAGCTTTGTGTGCTCAGGCTGGGCAAACCTGCACGAAGGGGACAACTTGGGTCCTGCCAGGTCAGTGCATGGAATAGTCCAGGAGAAGGTGACATGGCCTGGGAGTGCAGGGGTCTCCTGGGACAGGGGACAGGTCACAGCCCAGCTGAGTGCTCCTCCAGGGAGAATATGAATATGAGCCAAACTGGAAGTGCAAGCTTTGCTAGGGCTGATGGTGGAAAGGTGAATCACAGGATGGTTTGGAGGGACCTTAAAGCCCATCTTATTTCAATCCCCCTGCCATGGGCAGGGACACCTTCCACTAGACCAGATTACTCAGGAAACTTCCCAGGGGAGAACATCCCAGAGCGGGCACGGAGCTGCTGGGAAAAGAAGCTGATACGCCAAAGGAAAACCCAGCAGGCATTTTCCTTTTGGCTGCAGCCCTCCATCAGCCAGGAGCAGGAACAGGCGTGCCCGGGGGGCTCAGACGCAGCAGCAGAGCGTGGAGCAGTCCAGCCTGGCGGGGGTCCCGGCACTCCCAGCCTTCTTGTTCTCCTTGGGCAGCAGCAGCACGAGGGCCATGGCCAAGGCACAGTGGTAGAAGCTGTGCACGTAGGTGTAATCCCACTCCTGCAGGCAGGGAGAGCGCGGTGAGCAGCAGCGTGAGGTGCGCGACATTAAATTTCTACAAGTAGCCAAAAGGAAGGGGATAAAAAAAAGATTCCTGAACCTTCTGCCTCCCTTCGGCCTCCCTTCGCTGTCAGAGAAGAAAGGATTTCCAGTGTAAAAAAAAAAAAAAAAACCAACCCAAACCTAAAGCAAAGTGGATTTAACACGTTCTAATTTGCACATTTCCCAATTCTTGAATGAAGTGTTTCATTACCCCGCAAAGGACGCGGCAGCGAGGCCGGGGCGCGCGGGGAGGCGGCTTCTGCTAAGTGACATTTTTATGTTCTGCTAGAATTTGCAATTACTAAATGCTTTGAAAAATAATCCTTGGGGATGCCTGTGAGGTTGTATCTCGCAGCTCCCAAAGCACAGAGCAGCCGTAGCGGCGGGGCTGAGCGCAGGCAGCTGTGTCGGGGGGTTATCGCCTGCCCGGCAGGACACACGGACCCTTCGGAGCAGGACAGGGGGACTGGCCAGCAGCAGGAGCAGAAGGATATAAACACAGGATCAGGTGCCCCTGGGAGTCACTGAGAGTCTTTTTTTTGGCGTGAGCCAGCTCTGGATCCGGCCATGCCTGGGTCGGATCCAGTCCCTGCCGCGTCGCTGTGAGGTGTCCTTAAGTCACCCGTGCCCAGTTTCCAAAAAACCCTGCTTGCACTTGACAAAGCCATTCTGAGGATCATGTGTGCCTGAGGAAAGCACATCCCATGTCCTTGTCACTCGCTGAAGGGGGAAAAAGAGACAGAGCATCACCCTGTGTGCCACTTGCTGTCACACCTGTCCTGAACGGACCAGGGGCTGGGATGGGGACAAGCACAGAGGGACCCTTGTCCCTGCTGCCAACCCCAGCATGCCAACCCTGAGCTGGGTTCTGTGCAAGGCTGGACTCAGCCCTGGTGTGAGTGGGGATGTCCCTCTCTTGGTGATGTCCCTTGTAGAGTCAGGGAGGGTGGGTGAGCACACAGGTACCTCAAAGAAGAACCTCAGCATCAGCGCCAGCGCCCCGAAACAGAAGCCAGGACCGATCTGCTGGGTGTAGACACTCTTGTCAGGATAGAGCCCTTTCTTCTCCTTCATTTTCTGCAGCTGGGAGCAAGGAGAGATCACACCAAGTGTATTCACCTGGATTTAGCTGGCTGCTCCAGCCTCATTCCTCATTATAATACTGGGTTTGTTATATTCAGCCCCAAAGCCAGCTCAGGGAGTGTGTGCCCTCACACACTCAGTCTGTGGGAGAGCAGATCCCAGCATCTGCAGACTGGAGGGTGCAGGGTGCTCCCGTGCCTTGGTCTCCTCCTTGCCCATCTCCTCCCCATGGTGGCCACTTGCTTTTAGCTGCTGGCTTGGTGACAGTTTATAACTGGGATTTGCACCACAGTATTTCCATGATGTTTGGCATCATCATTTTGCAACTTTTATCCCATCACTCCTTGCCCACTCCTGCAGTGGCTTCCCCACCTCAATCCCAGCTGGGCCCACAGCACATGCTGTGAGTGGGGCACAGACTGCAGCATTGTGTCCCACTGTCCCAGCTGGATTCAGGCAGACTGCAGACAGATTCCTCCCTGCTTTATCACCGTGTTTTATCCACATCTTCCCTGGATCTGGGGCAGTTTACCAGATCTCTCTGCCTCTGAGTAGCTATAAAAACTCCATAAATACGTTCCTCCTGATTAGAATTGCAGGGACAGGAGATGTGGTAGATTGCTCAGACCGATCGAATCTGGCATTTATCACGAAGGCTGCTGCCTGCCTTCTGCTCGGATTAGAGAAATCACTGTGAGACTGAGAGCTGGACCTTGAGGAGGAAATCACTGGCACAGCTTGGACTCCTCCATGCAGGATTCAGCCCTTTTCCCCACCAGGAGCACCCCACAAAGCCCATCGCAGTGCCCTGCCCCACGTACCCATTTGACCGTGATCACCAGCACGGCCGTCCCGATGGGCCCCGAGTAGACGCCGTAGCCCCAGCGGTCGTGGTAGATCCTCACAGCGATGGTGAGGACTCCAAACATGATGAAGGTCGATCTCTTGGGCTCATCAAACTCTGCCAGGGCTGAGGGACCGAGCACAGGGAGCATCAGCTCACAGCGCCCCTTTGTCAGCTGCTCCCCTAAAGCTTTCCTGGGGTCTCTCCCATTTGCCCTGGGGTTGCATCCATGTCACATTTCTCATGTCACACTGCTAGGGAAACTGAGGCACAGGGGGCAAAGCAAACCATCCTGAGGTATCTGAGTGGTGGGTCCAGCAGCTGATTGTTGGGGTTTTATTTCAGTGCTGCATGGGGAAGTTTAAGGGGATTCCTTACTCAGAGGAGCTGTGGCTGGCCCATCCCTGGAAGTGTTCCAGGCAGGTTGGACAGGGCTTGGAGCAACCTGGGATAGTGGATTGTGCCCCTGCCCATGCCAGAGGGTGGAGCAAAACGCTCTTTAAAATCCCTTCCCACTTTAAACCACTCTATGATTTTCCTTTTCCTTGACCCAGAATTCAGAGGTGATTGCAAAAATCCTCATGCCCTGCAAGCCCACAACCAGCTCTTGTGTTCATCCTGCATCTCCAGCCTTCCCAAACTTGCCAGCTCACTCTGGCACAGGTTCCATCACCCCAGAGCAGTGGGACTCCCCCACTGGTGCCATGGGATCCCGGCTGCACCAGCACCTGCCCTGGGTTTGCAAGCTGGAAGTCACCAGTGTGAGTAAATTATTAGAGGCTTTTGTTTAGCACAGAATGGGGTAATAACTGATAAAAGTTATGGATCCCAGTGGGCTCCATGCTTTTCCAGCTTGCACAGCTGTGTTATGGCTGTCCTGGATTTGCATTCCGGGAAGTTTGCCCGAGGGTCTGCGTCCGCACATGTGCGCTCGGGCTTTACAAGCCACAGTGAGAGGCTTCCCTGGGCTTCAGTCACCACACCTTCCATGTCCTTGGATCGTGCTTTTATTGGGAGTTTGGCTAAGGGATAATGTCCGCATGTTAATCTCTGTTGTTTCCCAGCGGGTCAATATTTTAAACCTCGTAGTGCAGGATTTGTGTTTTTTTGCGAGGTTTTTGAACGCAGTAATGAAGCAATCAAGTTGAATTTTGCTGCAAGGAGCCAAAGTGTCTGGATCAGCTCTGACCTACCATGACACTGCTGTTGTCCACTGAAAATGCCCTTTGGAAATGATTTGCCTGGTTGTCTTTTCTAGCTGAGCACTGAAGTGCCCTGAGCAGTGGGGGAGGCACCCTTGGGACTCACATTTTGCTGGGACAGAGTTATTTTCAAGGGTAATATTTTCCCCACACATTTTTCCCTGCATGGAGAATTTATCCTCTTGCATGCCCTGGAAGAGGGGTGCTCCTGCATCCCCCGGGATGAATCTGCCCAGCTGTGGGTGTTACCCCTGCTTGTGCTGGGCTCTGAGGCTGCAGGAGCCCCATCCGTGCTGGGAGTCCCGCACCATCCCAGGAGTCCTGAGGGGCAGAGAGGAAAATCCTGTGGGATTTTGGGGCTGGACATTGGAGTGCTGACACCAGCTCGTTGTGGGGAGAAATAGGAACTCTGTCTGGAGTGGGCACTGGTTGGAAATGGTCCAAATTTTCAAGCAAAACCTTTGCTGTTGGAACATCTTATCCTGCCATCAATACTCACATCCTTCCAACAATCATGGTGACAAAATGGGAAAATGATAGGTTTGAACTTTTTGTCTTTCTCGTATATTTTTCCATTTCTATTATGTTTTGTTTTGGTGGCAAATAAGGAACAAAATGAGGAAAAAGAGAGTGAAGCAAATGTGGGAAAAGGAAAACTGAATAACGGGGCAAGGGGTGGGATTTATAATAAAAAGGAAGTGAAATAAACTTCTGCTTTTTCTAAGCGGATCTAATATTCCCATCAGCCCAGACCAGGCTTTTGATAAACCAGGAAGTTATATTTATTTTGACTAAACCACTTTGATTCTCATGCTACCGAAGGAAGAAGAAGATTCTGCATTTCTTAATGCCCCTAAATGAGGCAAGACAAGCTGATGGGCACAATATGGAGAAAATGAGGAGAAATGGGAAATTATATGAGGTTTCAGACTTAGTCATCTCATAGTCTTGTCCTGCCATGACCTGCAGAACAAGGCTGCCAGTGTGTTGCTGTCATTTGAAGCACAGGACATGAGTGAGAGCTGGTGCAGGCACAGGAACACCTGACCAACACCACCAGCAGGTGCCACAGCTCTTCATCTCCAGGAGCAAAACGTCCCCAGCCACCACTCAGGACAGTTCCATGTCTGGACCCCACCAATTACAATGACTTTCCGAGGTGTTAATGATGCAAAACTGGATTAATCCATAGCACAGATTGAATTGCACAAAGGACAATTTCAGTGGCAGCTCGGGTGGAGCTCAGAGCTTTTTTGGGGACTGTCCCCACCTACTGTCCCATCCTGACAAACCCAACCCTTCCTGCCAGTTTTGGAGCTTTCAGGAGCCACGACAGAGCAGTTCTTACCCATCAGAGACACCCAGATGGACAGGGCTGTTCCATAGATGCTGAAGTACTCCAGGATGTCATAGCGCATAAAGCACAGCACTGATAACCCGGGGCCGTCACAAACGTGGTAAAACTATTCAAAAAGAAAACAAAATAATTAAAAAAACACTTTCTTACCCACATACCGGTAAGGTAAAGGCTCTTATCAACTGGTTTGAAATAATGTAGCTGCTGAGAGAATGGCCAGCCAGGCCAGAACAGTGTCAGCTACACCAGGATCACTGATATGCAGTAATGAATATATTTGAGCGATAATGTCATCGTTCCCAGTTGCAAATTGCCCAAGAATCAGCATTCTTTTCTCTTCGTACAAACTAAGACAGGCTTTAATTTGCCTCTTGGCCAGAATTTGCAATCTGATGACCAAGCTGCTTTGAGCTGGGCGCTGGGGGATGGCCTCTCCAGCAGAAGGAGAGTTGTGGTTTTAATTGCGAAAGATTCTTGTAAAACAATTCAGAATGAGTGTCCTGATGAAATGTGTATGGATGCCAGGTCACTGTCCAGGCTAAAGAAGGTTTATATGGCCAGACTCTGAACACTGGGGAATTCACTCATTAGTGCATTCCCTTAAAAACCACCAGTTCCTGCCCATTAACCCATTGATTATTTGCAAAAAAACCCCCCATTGTCATGCAACATAAACGCAGACCAAGCCAAGAGACATTTTTCCAGTGCAATCAGAGGAATGCTCCCAGTGTTTGCCTGGCTCTGTCCTTTTCCTGCCAGCCCTCAGCCCTGCAGGTTTTGCAGTGGCAGCACCAGTGAGCTCTGCTGTTCCTGAAGAAGTCCCTGCTCCTCTTGGCCGGGCGCCCTTGGAACGCTGCTCGCTGCCACGGCCCGGTGGGGATGCTGATATAATTTATAATGGGAATTGCTGCGAGCCCTCTGGCTGGCTGCAGCTTCTAGAAAAGATTGCACCACGGCTGTAATTCTTTTCCCTGCTTGAGATTGGGCTCGGGGAGTCTGGAGCCGGGGGGAAGAAAGGGTGGAAGGCAGAGCGTGTTCCTGGCACTTGTTTGCCACAGCCATGTGCTTTCACTGCTCTGCTCAGCTCTTCTGCAGGAGGAGGAGTGGGATGCTACAAAAAATGCAACAACAGCAGCTGCTGCCCTTCCAACCCCCTCCCCACCACGCTGGCAGCTGCCTCTCCTCCTTTCCCTTCTTTTCCTTCCCCACTCAGGGATATTTTGCTTCTTCAGTCTCTTCGGAGAGGACCTGTTCCACCTCTTATTGAAACACGTGCCAATTTTCCTACTGACTTCTCGGGGAGGTGGAGCAGACACAGACCCAGTGCAAAATGAAATTGTAGATGTCTGGCTTCCCTGGGGAGATGAGGCAGGGGGCTCAGGGATGTTTTCATATTAACTGGTCCTGTAGTTTTTATAGAACTGGCAGAATTTCTCCCCCTTCATTGTGCTTTAATCAGCTCAAATGGTCAAGGATGATCTGTGGATCCTTAATAGGAGACCAACCTGATTCTGAGCCCTTTGGAAGAGCTTTTCACACTGGAAAGATTCTTTATCTACTCCCTGCCTCAGTTTCTCTGTACAAGGAATGTGCCTTGAGATGGATGTGGATTAGTGGGAAATGCAACATCAGCTGGGTTGCTGAGCTCTTTCCTTCATATTCTTTAGCAGATCATTGAAATGTAGTCAAACAGGAGATTTTTTTCCAGTGGAAATGCTGCTTTGGGTGCTTTTGGGGTCACTTAGCAGGGATACAAAGCCCAGGGCAACACACTGCTGGGAGCACGAATAGGAATATTTTATATATGCACAGACATTTCTTCACTCGTTATTTCCACACAAAGGAAGGCCAGGGAATCAGAGCCTGATAAAACACACGTTTTAACCCATAAAGGGTTAATAATTACTTTTCTTAATAGCTCAGCAGCATGTTTTAGTCTTTCCCATTGCAGAAAGTCCCTCAACTCCAGCATTGCTCCCATCCCCAGCTGGCAGTTGCAAAATCAACAATTTGACTACTATGTGCTTTTGGCTAAAATGACAGAGGCAGAGCAAGAGATTCTGGAGGCAATTTAAAACCCAAATTCAGCATGGCCACTTAGCAGCTGTAAAACAAAGAGAAAAGTCAGCTCCCAAGCATTGCAAATCAGTCAAGGCTCTTTGCACCCAGACCTTCTCCCTAATCTCGGTCATAAAACACCACTAAATCTCTGTAAGGCCACACTGTAGGACATCCTAAACTGGAGAATCAGCTGCTCAGCACCACACACGGTGGGAAATAACTGGAAAGGGAGATTTTAGGGGTTGTGCTGGCTGCTCTTGGGTGAATCAACTTCTCAGTGGTACGGGAGGCATTTGGGAGGATAAAACATGCAGGGAGAGGGGAAATTGGGAACTTCTTACCGCCACGAAGAACATGGTGAAGAAATAAACCATGGCTTCCATGTGGAAACGCCGCTTGGCCGCGATGCTGATGGTGGGGAGGAAGACCAAGGAGCTGAGGGTGGGCAGGAGGAGCTTGGCCACCAGCGAACCCATGGGTGCCTCGTGGGCCAGCAGCTCCCGGGAGCTGGATCTCTGTGAGCTGGGCAGGAATGGTGGAGAAAGCAGCCGTGGGGAGAGGGTTTTAAAATTTAAATGCCCTGCGTGGCAGGAGGGCTGCGGGCAGGGAACAGCTGCCACAGCCGCCGCCTTCGCTCCCGGCCGTCCCGAATTCTTGACACAGCCGGTGGCTCCGGGCAGCAGATGCTCTGTGCCCCCAAAATCCTCCTGGGTGTTTCCAAAGGACTAAAAGGGAATGTTGTCCTCGCACGCCTTGTGTTGGGTGTTGGGTTTGGGCACATGGTGGGTGAGGATTCCGGGTTTGCTCGCTCCCCCATCCCTGCATCTCTCTGCCCCCATGCTGAGCCTGGCCCAGTGCTGCTGGAGCAGGGAAAATCCATCTTCTTTCCTCACAAAGTGGAGGGGCAGGCACTGATCTGTCCTCTCTGGCAGCCAGGGAAGAACCTGGGACTTTCCTGTGCAGGGTCAGGAGCTGAACTCGATGATCCCTGTGGATCCTTTGCATTATTTTATTATTCTCTGCTCTGCATTCCCACGAAGGAAGAACTGGTATGTATGTGGCAGGCGCTAGGGTTTTATTAAACAGTGGGATGTATCTTATGACCTCTGTGCACTTCAGAAACACACACCAAGCTCCAAACCTGCCTTCATTTCCCCGCGGGGGCACAGTGGAGTGGGTGCAGACCCAGCACCCGATGCCTGCTGCCAGTGCCTACGTGCCCTCCGTGGAGTTCGGAGCACTTCAATTTCCCAGCCATGCCCTCAGCCTTTGCAGCCTGGCCACCTCCAGGAGTTCTGTCTGAAATTCAGGAGCCGAGCGTCTCCGGGCTGGAGGAATTTGAGCGGATTGTCGTGCGGCGCAGAAAAGCTGGAGGAAAGGAAACCAAAAGCCAAGCGGCGTTTGGGCTGCTAATCCACTCAGTGGTTCTCTCTTTTATTATGACTTTTTATTATATTGCTGCTGCTCCCCCCCTGCGTTAATATCTTTTCCTTGGAGCCTCGCAGGGATTCTCGGCATCCTTTCGGCACAGCTGTTCCCGGGACACAGGGAGCAGGAATGCTACGCTTGAGCAAGCGCCTTTGTGGCTGCGGCTTTGGGGAGGAGGGTGGGAGCTCTGATAGGAGCCACCATTTCTAGGGCTGATAGGACGGGCTCGCCTGTCCCCCGGGAGGGGGTCTGGAGGGAAGGCAGGCACGCACGGATT